GGGGGGGGGTAAGATACAGACATCATAATGTGTCATGCTTAAATTTTCAAGAACTTACTGATATGGTAATTATATGTTCTTAGTAATAAGAATTATGCCATTCATATGCAAATTTGACACCATTTATATGCAAATCTGCACAATGCCTGAACATAAAGCTGGGAAAATTAATGCCAGCATCATGAAATGTATTTAAAGCCATGTTGCCTCACTGCTTGAAGGACTCTGACACAAGAGATTCTGCACTTGGAGCATCTAGCTGATTGAATTATTTCACCAAAACCAAGTCACTATATACTTAACTATATACTGTAAAATTGTTTATTTTCACTGGCAGTTAATTTCACAATCACCAGGTTTTATATTCACAAATTTGCCAAGGAGACAATGAGTTTTATTGCAATTTGACATATTCATGTGGATTTAATTTAGCAATTTTTTTTTATCGGCAAAAATGGCAAAATTAATGCATTTACAGTATTTTAAAAGGAATACCTCCCTCTATGTGTTGCCATTTGTCATTTGTCAATAATAGATTATCTTTGATATACAATGAAATTCCAGTTCAGAGGTCCTAATATTAAAGTCTAGTTTCACAATGTGCCAATACACAATATGGACCACACCCACTGAAAACATGCAATCTTGTCTGCCATCTAATCTAAAATGCACAGTAACAATAATTAATTTAAACAGACTCTCATAGTTTCCTAAACCTAATTTATAACTTATTCAGTTGTAATAGACTTTGATTTAGAAATGAATGCCTACAGCAAGAAATAGAAAGCTTTGTAACATTTAACTTCATTAAAGTCACCTACATAAAAAGCCTTTACGATTAGGGTAAGTATAAAATAACAAATGTTGTTATGAAATATGGCAACCCATTGTATGTTCACTATCAGAAATAGTTGGAATGTTTAATTTGATAAGGTTCTCAATAACAAAATGTTATGAAAGTCCAGACTTTCTGTCGAAAGAACCCTGGTTATCCCCCAACTTGCGAAACTTGTGTCTCTCACAAATTAAAGCTGCCAACTAACCCAGCATGCAATGAACCAGTCGTGAGTCAATGCTTTCTGTGCTTCCAACAGGATATTTTTGCCTCCAGGTAGTGGTGGCTGGTTAGAAAATTGCATTTAAGAATTCACACGGTAAATTATAATAAAAAAATTATTAATGAAAACCCTAATTAGTTAACATGAGGTGGAAGGAAAGTAAAGTAGAATCTGATGGCAGATGATGTCCTTAGGCAGGACCATGTTTTATCCGAGGGAAACTACAAGATATTGAAGTAAATCAGAACTTGCAATGAACTGGTTATATGACAGAGGTGATGAGAAACTATGCAAAGTAAACGCACAACCTTATATGGGTTTACTCTACTTATTTACAAAACTAAGTTTGTTTAATATTACATTTTAAATACCAAATTAGAATTGTAAAATATTCTACATAGTTATAATAAAATTGTTATTTACATGTATCTACATGAGAGCTTTGCAGTCATCCAACTGAGTTGTGTTGGTCCCATATGATATACATGTACATATTTATGATGAATGAAACATTGTACATTTATACAAAATGCATCCAAGGTAATTAAAT